TATTTTATGAAACACGTCTGCAACATAATGCAACAAAGGATTAATGGCAGCTTGATGCAAGTCTGAAAGTATTTTGCCTTTTTTGCCTTTTTATTCGTCCATTTGATTGTGATAGCTGTTAATCAATCACTATTTATTACCAACTTTTCGATCCTTAACAGGGTCTCTCATCAGAGATATAAAAATTTAACACATCTAAAAATTTTATAAAGTGTATTGGATAATTTAAATGATGTTAAAAAAGTCAGTATCAGGGATTTTTTCTAACTTCTAATTATTATCATACTGTATGGCAAGTCAGAAATGGTGTTAATGTATGGTATAAGAGATACGTGGTTGAGAAGGTTGTTAATTTTGTTATTTTGTATAAAAACTTTTTGCTATTATATGTAATTGTTTCATTTTGATTATTTATTTCTTTGTTGTTTTAATTACTAGTGTAGAAGAATATTGTATATTGTACCATAAAATTTCACGCTTTAAAGAGTTAATCCACTTTACTCAATGTTATGTTATTTATAATAAATATTATTCAGCTTGTCGAACAGCCAAATGGTATGATGAACACGTGCCAATTAATACCTTCAAAGATGAAAACAAATGAGATCAAGGTGTCAGCAGTGGAGAAACGCTTAGAAACGTGATTAGACAGAAGGTTAAAAAACAAGAAGATTTCCTTGACACAAGAACAGCCATGGACGATAGCTTTGCACGGTATATGAACATACATACGGTCGCAAGGACGTAAATTACTTTCCCGTTTTGACACTAAACGGACCCTTAAAATCGAGCCAACGACGGCTATGGTCTCGATTAATTCCGGACCGAGGGCACCGTCGCCCGTTTCCAATCGAGTTACTGTCGATAGGATTATAGAATTACAAGGTTAAAGCTGAGCGACGAGTTCGACGACGATAAGGTTAATGGATATAAGATCAGAAACGAAAGGAATGCGGTTGGCAAGCAACCAAGGAGAATAAATTATTTCACGTTTCAACCAGACAACTATGTCGAACTTGTTTTCTTCATTTTAATACTTCAACTACCACGCTGCAGTCATTAAAATTGTTAATTCTACAGGGTAACTCGGTGTAATATGCTATCTTGGGTAATGTGCCATTTTTCAATAATTTCTTATTTAATTCAAAGATGATTTTATTTAGTTTAATGCAACCACCTAGGCGAAAATAAATATACCTATGCTTTTATTTCCGTTTATTTCCAACTAATTCTGATAAGTTATAAAACTATCGTCTTGATGCAATTCTATGCTAATGCAGATTATTCACTTGTACAAATAATCACGCAGTTAAATAACAAATCATAATAAACTACATTAATAAATGAATTGTATAACTTCTCAAATATCCACTAAATTCGCGTGGCTTCTAAAGAACTTTTCGGTACTCTTTTTTATGGTCGTGTGGGATAAAATGCCACATATTTATTGGTATATTATGCTTCAAATGGTATATTACTGACAAAAGTTGAATGTATAATATCTGTATGTTTTATGTATTATAATTGTTCTTTTTTCAAATCATATTTGTTGGTTAGAAGAAAGTTTAAAAGAAGCCATGAAGATAGTGAAAGAGACTCGTACTACAATATTACAAACTTCGAAGAATTACGGCATACTATGTTATACATTTAAAAGCAAAATAGTTTAAAAATAGTTGCTAAAGATAGATCCATGAAGATTGCATTCTATCTGAAAACTGTAAGGATTGTTTACTTTGTAAAAAATAGTTATTGTTTTTTCCAATATTTGTACGTTGCATTCATTTCGAAGATTTTTTATTATCACTATTTTAATTTATTTAAAGTATTATTGGGGACTTAAGGCATATTACCCCATATCGCATGGTATATTTCCCCACTACTTGGGTAAAATGCCATTTTCTAAGCCTAATCATATTATTGTATAGTTTTATCCTTTCTGCTGTAACTATTTGTACTTGTGAGATATCACGTTTCAAAGTTAATTGTGGTATATTACACCGAGTTACCCTGTAGAATTACCTATAGTTTTTCTTGAAATAAATTTTTAGGTACAGGAACATTTTTTATTGTTTAGATCTTTAGGATGCCGGCGGAAAAATTATGACGTTTCGTCTCGGGAACCGTCCATTAGAACTCGTCAGTGGGGCTGACGTGGACGGTCCCTGCCCCAGACGCCAGGGTACTATACATTCTCAGATGTTATACACGGTGTCCAATAACTACATCAACAACCGAAAAGGGATGATTGACAAGGTGATTGTAACAACTTTTTCCTTTACCAAAATGTTGATTAAGGCTTCGTTTTCGAGTTATTAACAAAAAACACTGGCCAATCAGAGCGCGCCTTTAGCGCAGGCCGAACCACGAGAGTGTTGGGTTTGTTCTGCGTTCAAGCCGTGGTGTGGTCGTGATCAAGTGCATCAGCATGCTTGTTCATGAGCAACCAATAATTCGATACTATTATTCTTTTCTTATTTTCATTCATTATCCCATACAACTTTTGCTCACCGAGTTCTACTATACCAATGTGGTGCTGATCATGACCACGGCTTGAACGCAGAACAAACCCAAGGGGTGTACCCCGAGGGGTTCGTTTGTACCGACTTTTGAAAAAACCCACAAGGAGTAACTTCGCCATTTATGAAGGTTTTTCAAATCTTTTTACGGGTGCTGTTTCCTAATCGTTTGTACCCGTTTGTACCACCTTCACTTTCGTTTGTACCTCACAGGGTTCGTTTGCACCGACTTTTGAAAAAAGCATCAAGGGGCAACTTCGCCATTTTTGTATATTTTTTATATTAATGACATAAAGACTATAAATATTGCGTAACTAGTATTATTAACTTCAAATCTACGACCTACAGTATTTCATCGTCTATGCGTTGATCGGAAATTCTATAGTGCTCGTTAAAAGAAAGGAAGTATTTGTGATGATTGAGATCTCTTATGTGCTGAGTAACAGAAAATAACGCAAACCTGTTTTCACCCCCATAACATGGACGATGCCAGATAAAAAAAAATACGTGTTGAATATTTTTATAAAACCTATATTTCCCCAAAGTTTCATCAAAATAGGCGTGTTCCATTTCGATATGTTCCATTGTATGTGCTGTTGAGTCGCGAAAATAATTCTTTGTTGGAAACAATAATGTTTTTCTCGGCACTTGGGGTTTTTTTCAAAAAGCGGTACAAACGAACCCCTTGGGGTACAAACGATTAGGAAGCAGCACCCGTAAAAAGATTTGAAAAATCTTCAAAAATGACGAAGTTACCCCTTGCGGGTTTTTTCAAAAGTCGGTACAAACGAACCCCTTGGGGTACAAACGAAACTGAAGGTGGTACAAATGGGTACAAACGTTTCTTTTTTAATTGGCGTTGAAAGAAATAAAAAATGTTAAAGTGTGGTGCTAGGCTATTTTCACCCCTTAGGGTACAAACGAAAAAATTGATTTTTTCAATGTCGGGTGCCAGGTTCAGGTAGGTACACTCTCGTGGTTCGGCCCGCGCTAAAGGCGCGCTCTGATTGGCCAGTGTTTTTCGTTAATAACTCGAAAACGAAGCCTTAACCAACATTTTGGCAAAGGAAAAAGTTGTTTAGAATGACCTTACCCTCATCCCCCTTCGGCTCCTACCCCAGTTCTGGGACACCCTGTATATATATCGGCAAGGCCTGTGATGGAGCGCTTACGAGAAAGGATGGATTATACGCGCAACATCTTGCGGCCATCACGGGAAAGAAGCCCAAGGGCGCCTGGGGCGCCATACTACCCTTATAACCCCCACAGAACTACATTTCTTTTCAAAATTAGAGGACTTCATGCAACAATGGGTTAACAAATTTTATCGCGATCAAAGCAGGCTTTCCTAGAAAAAGTGGTGATGCTTTGGATTATCACCCTTCTTTATAGGTTTGTAGCTTTGGAGAGAGTGACGATGGAGTGGAGAGGGTCCCGTATAGATAGATATGTAGTTCCCCACCATTTGTGCATAAACGTTTAGGCGGGAAAATTTGAATTAATATTTACTTTGTTATTCGCACATGTTAATTATATACTAAATTTTATAATATTTAATAACCATAAATTATATTGAACACTGTTTCTAAATCACTTTTAATATTAATATTGTCGAAATTAAAGGTTTGAGACTTCTTACTTTCTATATATGTATTGCCATTTTCTCTAGGGAAACCTGATACGTTCGCGAGTATGCTACTTTCACGATATTTCATTATTTTGTAGCGCGAATACGCCTAAAATATGTATACAGGGTGTCCCAGAACTGGGGTAGGAACGGAAGAGGGATGATTGGTGAGGTCATTCTAAACAACTTTTTCCTTTGCCAAAATGTTGGTTAAGGCTTCGTTTTCGAGTTATTATCGAAAAACACTGGCCAATCAGAGCGCGCCGTTAGCGCGGGCCGAACCACGAGAGTGTTGGGTATGTTCCGCGCGGTCGTGATCAAGTGCCGAGGCACCACGTCGGTGTAATAGGATTCGTTGTTCATGAGTAATCAATAATTCGATACAATTATTCTTTTCTTTTTTTTATTCATTATCCGATGCAACTTCTACTCAACGAATCCCATCATCCCGACGTAGTGCCGAGGCACTTGATCACGACCGCGCGGAACATACCCAACACTCTCGTGGTTCGGCCCGCGCTAACGGCGCGCTCTGATTGGCCAGTGTTTTTCGTTAATAACTCGAAAACGAAGCCTTAACCAACATTTTGGCAAAGGAAAAAGTTGTTTAGAATGACCTCACCAATCATTCCTCTTCCATTCCTACCCCAGTTCTGGGACATCCTGTATATGTATAGCTATGTAAGACGTACGAATCCCGCGTCCGCCGCACGCCGAGTACTCGCAGGTACTACCATAAAAACCCTCGCACTCGGTCATACGCCCCCCTGATTGGACGGATGTAACTATAGAAATTGATATAAATACTAGCCACAACTGCTCAAAAAGTCAGTCAAGCACTTTTTCTGTCGCAGGGTTTTTTGAAAATTTTCCCCGCATGAGCAACCACCTGTAGGACGACCCATTTCAAGGAACAAACCATCAACAGAAACATCCATCAGACAGTATAAGGAGAAATATCCAGGCAACTCTTTCAAAAAGGACCAGGATTAATACAGGCATTCCGCCTTCAAAAAAAAATCAAAAAGTCAGTCAGGCATTTGGAAACCACCTTGAAAAGTGATTATTATTAATGTAACGTATGTATTTATTTTTCAATAAATAAATTATCTTGCAATAGATATAATTACCTAAATAAATAAAAAGAAGCACATTTTTCAAGAGGATGCGAGAACTTATTTTTAGATTCAAGGGGTGCCGATCACTAAAGAGATTAAGAACCACAGGTCTAGAGCTTTATCTTTATACAGGGTGATTCTCTCGCTACTTTCCTCAAAGGAAGTGCCGCAACAATGGACCCAAGTCCTTTTCTGTCATCGATATCTCGACGGGGGTACATACTGCAGCCGTGTGCGTAAAAATGTGTGTAACGAGAAGGAAAGTCCTACTTAAACGCTGCGGAAAACAGAATAAGTATGTGTATACTTGATGTCACGAGAGTCCATAACTAAGTGCGCAGGTTGGAAGGTGGTGGGGGAACACAGCGATGGTGGGGGAAAGCGATCCGCCAATCGCTTTCCACTTCCGCTAGAAGTATCGCCAATCAGAGCGACAATGCGCAGAAAAGAACGAAAACTGGTCTTTTCGCAGTTATGGACTCGCGTGATATCAAGTATACATTAGGTACATAAGGTAAATGCACACAAACTTATTCTGTTTCCCGCAACGTTTAAATGGGACTTTCCTTCTGGTTACACACATTTTCACGGACACAGCTACGGTATGTACCCCCGTCGAGATATCAACGACAGACAAAGGCTTGGGTCCATTCATACTGGTGTGGCGGCACTTCCTTTGAAAAAAGTAGAGAGAGAATCACCCTGTACCAAGTGGGGTCACACTGGGACCCCAGTACTTAGGTACATATCCTTTTTATGTTACTTAGTAACTTAGTATTTTTCTATGTGCCTTATTATCAATTCCGGCAAAAAGAAACAGATTTCAAAATATCGGTTAAATTAATTTTTAGAAAAAAATCGGAAACCTCTGTGAAAAAGGTAATTTCATCAAAACCTATAGAATTGAACCATAATTATATGTTTTTAATCGTGGTGAGATAGTTTTGCTCCACTGTACTTACACTGGTCACACATTACTATCTACCATGGTAATAAATGTGTTAAGCAATACTGATTGTGAGATATAGCTCTCACAAAAAATAAATGAAACCAGAATGTAAGAATATCTGTGTATAATTTCTAGATCTTGACAGCTCTTATGAAGTATTAATCTCCTCTGACCTATTAGTCACGAACTTTTACTAACAAGAAAAGGTTCCCACCTGGGAATCTTAAATGTTAATGAGCTTTTTCAAGTTGATAAATTACGTTATGACGAACTTCCGGATATATGGTTTCTGATGCAAATAGTCAATAATTTAAAACATACTTAATATCAAATCTCTGATAAAATTTATTTATTTTATTACAAATATCCTCAGCAAAAAAGCATAGAACAATAACTGTTTAACGAGTAAATAGGTTTTATTAATAGCTGTTTGGTATTTGTATAAATGAAATAGAAATTATTTAATACTTTTTAGTGCATTTTGTCGTAGAAATAAAGTATAAGTTATTTTATACTTTTTAGCGCATTTTGAAGTCGGTTGTATTTTTTGTTAGAAATTATTTTATTTAGGTTCATATCGTCTTAAGGTGTGATTTGAATGCTTTACACAATAGTTTTGTGGCTTGGTGCAAGAAGTAGCAACGTCAGTGTTTATAAAGTTGAGATATTAGCACTTAAAGATATGTTTAAAAACTCATGTTCAAATGATTTTTGATACAAAACTTTGTGCTGCTTTAAATTTTATTTGTAATACAAAAAGAGAAAATTAACTTTCGGACGGTGGACCATGGAGATTGCTACAATTTTAATTGTATTTTCTATTTCATATTATTTTCGTTTTCTACATTTGCACTGTTCCTTTATAAATTATTCTTCCACTATACAAAGCTCCTTTGTTTAAAAATAATAAATTTAACTTTAGGTTAATATCCTTGTATATATTTTGAAAATTTTGGTTACAATTGATAGAAGCTTCGCTGTTTTGCAGTTAAAGCTTATGTTATTTGTGTTTTTTTAAAATAAATAATATGAGTTTATTAAACAAATTTATATAATGAAAAAATTTTTACATTGGCGTAAACAGTCATTTCTATAGATAGAACTTGAAATTGTCGATTTTTATATAGAATACATAATTGTTTACAAATTCATTTTTCTTTACCAGAAAAATTGCTTATTTTTATACTCTTACACGTATGCTGCATTTATGTGTTAATATTTATACTATATGATTTATCAAGGTTCATAATTTGCCACTTCACGAATAGTCATGAATAGTTTCGAAAATTTTCCAATTTTTAGTTAACACACTTTAAATTCTCGTAAGAATCATATATTTGTCAACACTCGTAGCATGATAACATTAACAACAAATTAACGAAGTGTGACGTAGTTATGCAACCAAGCCAGTGAAAACTGATTGTCTCTTACTAATAAGCATATTTATCAGCCAACTGTGAAAATACGAAAAAAGAAGCTCGTCTGGATTTCTTTGTTTTTCAACCCGATTTACGTCATTAGTTCCAATTAATTTTGATTACGAGCGGTGCCTGAAAAGTGTCATGACGAATTTTACATTGAAATCCGATTCCAGGCGTGATCTTTGTTCGCATGAAATCTGTAATTTATGACAGTGGGCGTATCATCTGGTTTTCCTCTGGCCAAAATAAAATCGTACGATATTCATGGTTAAAATAGCATTCGTTCATCACAAGGAATTGTACCAATACAAATACATACATCATGTCTCCTATTTTTATACGTTTCTTCCAATCAAGTTCAAAACACATTCACAAACCTGAATGAAATTCAAAACTACAATTTCATTTGATGGAACGCTTACAAAATTATCTATATTTTACTAATTTAAGAGGTATATCGTTCATTGTTTTGGTAAAATTGGGCCAAGTTAGATTGGATACATCGTTTTAAAATGTTAACATTCCAAACTTTCAGAATTTCAGAATTTGAGAGTTCTAAAATTCAAAAATTTCAAATTTGCAAATTTCTAAAATTCTGGAATTCCAAAATCCCTAAAAGGCAAAATTCCAAAATCCCAAAAATGGTAGAAATTGATAAGTTAAGTTAATTGTAGATTGGTGTCGACCATATCCAAAAAACCATAAAATTGTTGTTATATGAGAACAACAACGAACAACTCGCTCACCAACTTCACATGCACATGTATGTCCTATAATAGTTTCTATTCCACTTCTTGTTTTGTCAAGTAACACATACACAAAATATTTTACTTCGTTTTAATGGCGCGAACGTATTTGTACTTTAATTAATGTTGCATTAGGGGAGTCAATGTCAATTTCATAATTCCAATAATTAATAGACCAAGATGTAGATGATATTTGAAATTCAAAATCACCATCTTCATTGATGTGATCTGCATAATATCCAGGGGTCTGCTTTAATTAGTATATAAACCAATGATTCCAGACGTATATAAACATAAATAACGAATACGTAACTGAGGAACGAGAACTGAAATACGAATTTTCACGCAATATACAAGGTCATTTTACAATGCGAAAAACGTTATTTAATAATTGTTATTTTAACATAAGTTTTCAACAAATATCAGGATCAGACTATTGCTACTATTGTGAACAAAAGAATGATGAAAGTTTGTCGGCTATTGGTATTATGTCACAATAATTTAAATAACAACAATTGAGTATTTGGATATGCTTGACAGCAATCTACAATTAACTTACCAGCTGATTTCCTAAATGGTTATTTTGAAGATGGATCATCATCCGAAGAAGATAACGACGATTAAATAGGTGAGTTTTATTAATGAGAATTTCGAGTTCACTGTTATTTTTTATAACTTGCCCATCGCTTCTCAGATAAATAATTATGCATTTCGGGTTCCTTAAGACCTAGAAAAACATAGTCCATAAAAAACTTTTATTGCCTGCGAGGTGCAAAGTTGACCAACTTCTACCATTGCCTTTAAAATTCCAGAAAGCAAAAACTTTAGATTTCCAAAATTTCAAAATTTCAAAACTTCTAAGGACCCTGGCCCGCCTCCGAAATAATCCTAGTTGCGCCAATGGTATCCATACAGTTTTTGAAAGGGTTGTTTAATTTGCGAAACATTGTAAGCGTAAGTCAAATATGTTGTTTAACTAAAATTTTAAAGGAGATTTTTTAAAACCTTCTTTTAAACATTAATGTACATAATATCTGTAAGAATTTTTTAAAATTATTTGGCTGTTATAAAAGAGGGTCACGAATCGAGCAAGGTTGAGAAACACTGATGTACAGAATTTTATATTTAAGACGATTTTAACTACTTTCTAATCTATGAAGTCATATTTTTCGTAGTTCAAGTAATATTGATTTATTCTCTCATTTGATGGTAAATGTTTGTTTATTAATTTTGGTCGGTAACTATACTTTTTTTTTTTTTTAAACTCTTATCATTTGATACAACTTTTCTATAAAATTTCTTTTAGACATGTTTATAACAAAAATTAATTTGCAATTGTAATTAGAAGGTTCTGCAAGTTCCGTTAACAAGCTGCGCAATATCGCTTAAGAAACTTTGAAATTAATTTGGTACCATGATTACATCAATTATCGTAAAATTCTACGAACATTATTGCACGGTACATTCCACATAAAATTTGCATTTTAGTATTAGAATAATACAAAAATATGTGAAAGGATTACATTTAAGTTAATCTTATCCGAGAAATTTGTATCCGAGAATTTTGAAACTGTTAGAAACGTGTACGTAACTTTTTTCAACGCAGATAAAAAATGTACCATTTTATTTTATCATAGCCCCTTTTTTATTTTTTATAATTACAATTACAATCGTGGGGGGGGGGGGGGGGGGGTCGAAGCTTATTTGTCGGTTTCAATACTACAATATTTAATTAATGTGGCAGCACTTCATGCAGAGAAAATTCAGATTTTTAGAAAAATAACGGTATATTTCACAATTTTTCATTG